ATTTGAAGAAACTGGACTATCAGAGGTAATTATTAACGTGATAGTTTTGGTGACCCGTCATCCTACTTGAAGAGGATTGGTAGGGGAATTTGGAGGAAATGGACTATCAGAGATAACTGTTAACGTGATAGTTTTGGTGGACCCGCTATCCTATTTGAAGAGGATTGGTAGGAGAATTTGGAGGAAATGGACTATCAGATGTAACTGTTAACGTGATAGTTTTGGTGGACCCGCCATCCTACTTGAAGAGGATTGGTGAGGAAATTTGGGGGGGAAAAGACTATCAGAGGTGTATTGTTAACTTGATAGTTTTAGCAGATTTCATGGTTGACAGAGGTATTCTATTGAACATGACAACTCAAAAAATTTATTACTCGTAATCCAATGAACTACAAATAAATCAACTCACAGTCTTGAACAAGTGCAGGGGAAAAGGGTAGACGTGGCACATCGCCTAGTGGGTCACTATCTAATAAGTTTGACTATCAGAGGTAATTGTTAACGTGATAGTTATTGAACCTACCATACTACCGAAGAGGATTGGCTTCAGTGGTCGTGGTATCTTCCCCTTCTGACTGAGAAGATTGGGCTTGGTCCGATTGTTCAGGTTGATCCTGCCTACTTTGTTCTTTAGCTTTGACCCTGACAATAATCTTTTGAGCATGTTCCCCTTAAGAAATTAGTTGTCTCTAGGAATGATATTCTGTAACCCTCATTTGTGCTAGCAGGTCGGTCTGCAAGTTGTGTCGATAGGTCTCCACTAAGGTAGACTGTGTCATACCTGTCGGGCATAGCAAAGCCATGTTTTGAAACCTTTTGACGAAGGCTTTGACGGACTCCCTCTTCTTCTGTTTAGTAGCGAGAAGGGTATGAATGGAGACTTCTGTATCCTCTTCAAAGAATCTTGATAGGAAGAGTCTCTCTAGATCCGTCCACTTTTGGATACATCCCGCAGGCAGTTTTCAGAACCATTCAAAGGCAACTCCCTTGAGGGTGCCAATGAACAATTGAGCCAGTATAGCGTCGTTTGATATCACATTCCCAGTCTGTGACTTGAAATGATAGATATGATGGTTCGGTGATCCCGTGCCGTCAAAAGTTTGTAGTGTCGGGACCTCAAATTTTAGAGAATAAGGGGTTGTAACCAATTCGGTAGGATATGGCCTGACAACTCCCTCATCTTGGAGCTCGCTTCTGTTAGCAATGACATTGAGGCAGGCTTCCAATTCTTCCATTTTAGCCGATTGAGGATTCTGCTCATTCTCGGCTTCTTTCTCTTCTTTCAGATGAAGAGACTATGTGATGAGCTTCTTGATCAGAGGTCTCGTTCACTTTTTGTTTCACCTTCGATGTGGGCGATCCTCCTTTCCGGGAGGATTCTTGCCGAGGTTGCGACTCAGCTTTTTGGAAATTGGCTCTATTGGCAATGATCTGAGCCATCATATCCCGAAGTTGATTGATGGTTTCCTGTTATGCTTGGAGCATGGCCTCCTGCCCAGCAACCCTCTTTGAGAGATCTTCATGGTTTCCCGTCATATAGGCGAAGTTCTCATGTTCAACAAAAGAGCTTGATGATTGAGACTCTGCAATGGCCGAGTGTTCATCATCAAAATTAGTTCCTCTGGCTAACCTCCGATAGTTGACAGGAGGAATGGCTCCTATTCGCGTCCGAGTGCGTTGGTAGATTCATTCAAACTCGTTAGCGATTTCTCTAACGGTCGGTGAACGACTTGTCTTAGAGTCATCGGAACTAGGACCCGAGTCTTTCCCTCTACCGATCACATTGATAGTGACCCTAATATATTCGGTCTCTAGAGACTTCTTCTTATGCGAACATCGTCGTTGGTTGGGCAAGGCAACATGTGTTAATTGGTCGAACACCAACGGTTTGGCCGCATATGAGCAGCAGTGACATCCCGAGAGGATCGCAGAAATCAATCGTTCACATTGGAATGAACGAATGACTTGTTACATCGGTCTTTCTCCTGATATGAACACTCTCAAATCTGTTGCAAAGACTTGAGAAGAATTACTCACTGACCGTGAGGTTTGAACTGGAACCCCCAGTCTATGATTGGACGAGATTACTTCCTGGTGAGCATGGATATGGTTGAGATGCCTTGAATCCAAAGACTTCTTATATCCGCCCCTCGATCTAATCGTGCTCCACGGTATACACCAGGTTCTGTATTGGATTTCGTTACCTGAACGCATGCCTGATCTCCAGGTGTTGTTGGTGAAATGCGATCCTGAGGTCTGCATTTTACTGATGAAACGTAGTCTTGAGATCTGCATTTTGCTAATGAAACGCAGTCCTGAAGTCTGCATTTTGGTGATAAAACATAGTCTTGAGATCTGCGTTTTGCTGATGAAACGCAGTCTTGAGATCTGTGTTTTGGTGCTGAAACGCATACCTGAGAATTGCGTTCAATTTGTGGAACGCACTCCTGAGAGTTGCGTTTTGGTTCAGGGATGCACTCATGAGAGTTACGTTCTGCCAGATCAACGCAGTTTTGAGGTCTGCGTTTTGATGTTGGAACGCGCCTATGAGGGTTGCGTTTTATTTGGGAAACGCACCCCTGAGGGCTGCGTTTAACTTGTCCTATGCAGATCTCGTGTTGAGGCACAAATACGGAGCTCACGTTGATTGGAGGATCGGCTTTTTTGGAGTTGTGCCGAAGCTAAGTCTTCTCCTTCAGAGAGGGGACTGTATGAACAGTGCAACCCCCAAGGGAGACAGTCCTTTAATGAGTCGACCACAACTGGAGCTTTAGTCTCCTTAGAAACTTTGTGGATCTTACGCATAGCCTTGGGGCTAAGGGATCTGGAGGAGAGGGCCTCCTCAAACTTGGCTTGATCGAACTCGATGATCAGAATTTCAATGGTCATTTCAGTGAGCATGATGTCGGATTGCGCCACAACTTCTTCGTCAGAGAAGCTAGTCCCCAGCGGAGTCGCCATCTTTTGTTTGGTGGAAAATTTGAAGTAAATAAAATAAAAAAAATTGATTTGTATTCTCTCGATCTTAATTACAATTAGATATCCTGATTACAAAAGAGAAGAGAATTGGTTTGGATTCTCCCCTTTGTTTAATTCTGGATTCTTCACGGTAGCGATGGAGTGTCTCCCTTGAATGCTCACGTCGAGTTTGCTCTCCGTTAACGATCCAAACATTTTGATTCACTGGAACGGTATCTCCTCCTCACGATTTGACGCTATGGAGAACTTGCAAAACAAGTTTTAGAACTCTGGACGAGTTGATAACTCTGAACGAGTTTGAAACTCTATGAAAAAGTTGATTTAACCGAAATCGGTTTATAGCCAAAGATGAAAGCTCTCTGTTGTCGAACGTTGCTGAAGGATGAACGTCGATCTCCCCTTTGCTGCCAAGCCGAAGATCTCCTCTTCGCTGCCAAGTTTAAGATCCAAAAACCCAGCCGAAAAGAAGCCCTAAACTCAGTTGAGTTTACTGATTTTTATAGGGGATTAAGGGGGTGTAACCGCCCCTTAAATCACTCCTAAGTGGGGTGTAACCGCCCCTAAATCATGGGAAACGGTTTTGAAACCGTTCAGCTCCTGTTGAATGAGTCTAACAACGCCCAAGTTGACGTTCAGGACCCTAACTCAGCATTTTAGACTGGAGACGCGGAGTTGGGCACCCGCTGGATATTGAAAAATGTGAGGGTCACCCGTTTGATGTTGAAAAATGCGAGGGTCGCCCGCTGGATGTTGAAAAATGCGAGGGTCGCCCGCTAGATATTGAAAAACGCGAGGGTCATCCGCGTTTTGTTTGTTGAGGGTTGGAAACGCAGAGGTCGCCTGCGTTTCAAGAACTAAAACGCAAAGGTGAATTCCGCGTTTTAGAATGAGCTAATGACTTATAACTTCTTCTGTAGAGCATTGTAAAGACCATTGTTGAGTGATCTTTGCCTTGACTGTTTTGGGGTGTGAAAATCGTCAGATTGTAACTTTCATCATCGGTGTTTGATGGGGGATTAGCTATCTATTATGATTTTTAGACAGCCTACAATTGTAAACCCTATTTGTATTCTCTTTCTCTCTATTAGTAAAATCTCCCCCCTCCTTGCCCGTGGACGTAGGCACATTGCCGAAACCATGTAAATTCGTTGTCTTGTTGTTTGGTACTTGAGTTTTGGTCATTTTGATTACTTTCTTCTCGTTCGTTGGTTTGTGATTCGTCCGCTGCACACAACAGATATCACTACGCTCATACCACATGCATGTCACGCCCAGACCCACATGCCCGTTGGCACGGTATAAGTTGTGAGACCATCTGAGTATAACATGTTGTTTGGTTCAATCCACCTCCAAATTGACTTGCTATTTAAATCCTCCCTCTTCATTCTCCGATGTGAGACTAAACTTGGGATATCATGCTCTCTATCTGTCACAGATTCAGATGTTTTTTCGATACCAAATAATAGTGGAGATATCATTACGTTTTAATCCAATCATTGATGATTTGATGCATGGTTGTGATTTGTCTTTTCAGTGTAAAATAGGAATAAATGCAGTTCATAAGGATATGATAAGTGATATATATAGAATGAATTACAATTGCTCATAATAGTCAATTAATCAATCAATCAATGATTTGAATTGGATATAGTGGTCTTTTTACTATTTTTTTGATATGCAAATGAATCTCTTTGCTATTTATATTGATATAAGGTGGAAGGGCATTCTCTCTCTCTCTCTCTCTCTCTCTCTCGCGGAGGGTACGTATATAGAATAAAGTCTAATTTAATGATGTCTTAAACATCAAGTGAGTTGTAGTGAGAAATTCTAATAGAAAAGTATAATATGTTATAGTTAAATGAGTTTGTCTCTTGTGGGCTTGGTAGGATTTGAGGGAGGTTCAAGTAGGGATGTTCTCGAGTTCTGAGCTGACTTCTCATTTATTTAGAAATAAAATAATTTCTTAATTTAATTGAGAACTTAATTAGCTAAGCATCTTCCATTCGACCTAGACAAGAGGTTGAATCATACAATTATTTCTCTCTCCTCCTCCTCCTCCTCCTCCTCCATCTTCCTGGCTAGTTTCCGACGCTGTTGTCCCACGTAATCATTTGATAATTCACTTGTGTACGTGGTATAGCCTGATTAAGTTGGGATCGAGGTAGAACTTGAATAAAAATCAGAGGAGATTATGAATTCAGGAGGAGGGGGCAGCAGTGACAGCTCATGCTTCGACTCTTGTCAAGGCTTCCTGCAAATGTATGAAGGTCTGGAGGAGTACTGCATCTCGCCGCTGCCCTTGGGTGCTAGTATTAATACCTGTTCAGCTTCCAATTTGGTTTCCTTCTCTAACAACTCGAATACTAGTCTCGTACATAGCCTCTCTGTCCTCAGGGAGATGGTACAGCAGCTGCAATCCCTTGTTCCCACGATGATCAACACCTCGCCTCATCATCATCATCATCATCATCATCATGACGATCAGCAGAGTCTTGACGCTCCCAGCACAGTCTCCCGTGCTACCTCCCTGATCCAGGATATACTCGCCGCTGCATCCTCTTTGCCTTACGCTTTCCAGCAGTTTGTGGTTCTATCTTCGAGTCTGCAGCGCAATGAATTAGACCACCATCTACATCAAGCGACTTACTTTAATGCTGAAGCAACTATAGCTGACCGTAATCAGCTTCCTAATCCTCTTCAGGGTTGCAATTCGTCTGAAGCGGAGGCCGTGGTTGCTGCAGGAGGCGGTGGAGTCATATTTGCGGCTAGTACGAGCAACGAAACCCTGAGATACAGTGGCACTTGTAGTTACTTCAAACGCAAGGAAACAACAACAGAAAAGAATGAGGATGATGAAGATGGTTTGATCGTAGAGATGGACCCTGCAGATCTGCTCGCCAAATACACACACTTCTGCCAAGTGTGCGGAAAAGGGTTTAAGCGAGACGCAAACCTAAGGATGCACATGAGAGCACACGGCGATGAGTTCAAGACCAGCGAGGCTCTATCAAACCCCATCAACAAACTGAAGAACGGGAGATTCGATGGAGAACTAGAAATCGATGAATTAGAAGGAGACGAGCTTGGAGGGGGGCAGGAGAAAAGTATAAAGAAGTATTCGTGCCCGCAAGAGGGATGCAGGTGGAACAAGAAGCACACCAGGTTCCGGCCGCTGAAGTCCGTGGTATGCGTTAAGAATCACTACAAGAGGAGCCACTGCCCCAAGATGTATGTCTGCAACCGCTGCAACCGCAAGCAGTTCTCGGTGCTATCGGATCTAAGAACCCACGAGAAGCACTGCGGTGACAACCTCCGATGGAGATGTTCCTGCGGAACTACCTTCTCCAGAAAAGACAAGCTCATGGGTCACCTCGCCCTCTTCCCTACTCATTCTCCAGCTCCAGCTCCCAACACTACTGCTCGTTTTATTCAGGCGCCCCATTCATAAGGCGACTATTAATAGCTAGATCCATATTCGTGTGCGCTCCTGCACGCCCACGGAAAATTGTGCAATGTTACTCTCCTTGATTTGTATGTTTAACATATAATAGTCCTGTCTCGTGCCTTCGACATTAGTCAATAACCACCTCAAGCAAAAGATTAAAGAGTTTGGATTGTACACTAATAACTCATGCAAAATGAGTTTTTGATATTCTTTCTGATTTCTTACTAAAGTTTGCCCATAAAGCTTCAACACATCTGTTACCATTGTATATAAACATGTAACTGGATGTTCAAATGTATAGTGGACCTCAATTAATTGACGTCTCCATTTCATAATTATTCTCACAAATCACTCCGTATAAACACTTTTAATAGTAGTCTTCTACTATGAATTAGATAAACACGTAGCTGATTACTGCTCGAGTATTAATGCTCTCTTTCCATCCTTTGCAGGATAACGTAATTAAAGACAGGTAACTAGTAACCCTGTAATTATATGAAGCTAGAAGTTGTGGCACAATATCCCTCAACCTTTCTGTGCTGCTCACTTAATTAGTTTTCTTTGCTTAGTATGTTTTGAGAAGTAGGTTCTGCTGAGGATCACATGGATCAGGCCACTTGTTTTGGAGGGGCGGAAGTACCCATTGGTTGCCATCGATGTATGAGATGTCCAAGAATGGAGTTGCTCCGCTCTCATCCGACTGCTTTGAGTAAGAAGCTCTCAGTGTGTTGTTGGCTCCTGGTCCCGTGCATTCGTATTCACCAAAGTAGACTAACCTGAAAGTTGTTCGATTTAAAACATTTGTGAGAACCATCTATAATCATCATCATATACATAATTATCATACTTTATACCTGCATCATATATGTTTCTACTAAAAACTTGAGTGTACATACGTACAAGTTCTTGTTTGAAATAGATAATTACTAAGGCAACAATGGATAGAATTGACAGAGCTCATTTGCATAGACTATTTACAAATTGTGAAATTAAAATATTTAAGAAGGTAGCCTTCATAACTAAGCCAGTCCATGTTGCATGTATTCTCTCAAGCAAGTGGTCATCCATTGTCTGACAAAAGCACCTCCATGCTCTTATCAAATTTAGAAGCACCTTAGAGTGCCTTAGAAATTCCCTTTACCATTTTGTATCATGAATCCTTCTGTGTGACTAGTTATTAGTCAAGAAAGCTGATACTTACAACAGAGTTGTAGTAATTAATATAATGTGTATTAACTGATCCCTTGTCGAGTACTTGTTCATAAGTTGTATGTAACCTCTAATAATGTAAAATCGCATTTCCACAGTTTTAACATTTCTAGTTTTCAATTAAAAGAAAGAAGAGTAAATAGAAGGTTTAAAGTAAGCTTAAGTGCATGTTCAGACTGAAGAACACCGAGCATTAGTTTCCCAAGCAAGCCATATAAATGTGTATATCGTTTGTCAGGCTCTTTTTAGCCAAAATTAAGCTGATATCCATATATAATTCCAATATTTCTCCATTCCTTAGATCACTATCTTCAACATCTGGTGTATGTAATTTGGAGTATACCTCTAAAGAATTTCTGTATAAATTTTAAGAATGTGTACACAGAAATTCAAGGAAACTAATGTGTACACAGAAATTCAAGGAAACTAAGTATGAAAGTTGAATAAATAGCAAAAAGGATCAACCACAGACTGATCTCTGGGGGGATCGTTCCAGTCTTTCCATCCTTGGTAGCATAAGGATGTTGGTGATTCGTCCTATCGACAACCTGTCAAATGAACCCTCTCGCGGAACGTGCTCTCCGGATCTTGTGTTGAAAGAATGCAAGAAGAAATCACAACAAATAAAATAGAAGAGAGACACCAAAATTTTAATGAGGTTCGGCAACTTGCCTAATGTTAGGAATATTAGCTGTTCAGACAAAGATTAACGTGAATTTTAAATAGTTGATTATTAAATCAGATAATATCAGATCACTATTGTAACTTAAATAGTTGATTATTAAATCAGATAATATCAGATCACTATTGTAACTCAGAAATGAAATTGAATCAAACGAAAATAAATGAAAGTTAGAAATCAGATCACTATTGTAACTCAGAAATGAAATTGAATCAAACGAAAATAAATGAAAGTTAGAAATACGGCCTGATGGTCGAGGCGTGCAAGGAACTGTCCTAAGAATCTAATTGCCCCTACTCGTACAGGGCTACGCGGCAAAAGTTTTCGGAGATATAACGACCCTCGGTCAGGCGACCTCCTTCTCATCGGCATGAGCTTCAAAAAGGCTTTGCGAATTCTTCTCGACTTTCAAGGAAACAATAATGATTTAACAACAAGAACACGAAGATGAAGAACAGAGAAGAGGAGAGAAAATGTTATATTTTTCTGTGTTTAACCCTTGCAAATACCGGTATTTATATAGGTTGGGAGTCATGTCCGTTATTGCACAAATCCTGCTAGCCGTTTCGTTATTTAAGTCCATAAATCCCGCCCATTTATTTAGTTAGCCGTTTTCATTTTCGTAGTCAAATGATTAACACGTTTTAATTGTTTAGTTCGTTTTAATTGTTTAACACGTTTTAAATTTTCCAATTAGCAAAAAAATAAAAATTCAAAATGTAGCAAGTTAAGAGCCCCTCAATCCGAAGCTGCATTCGTGTTCACCACATAACCTTTGCTTTCTTCTAGGAATAAGAGAGAAGAGAAAGGCTTATAAACACCCTTTCTTCCTATTTCATTTCCTATGTGGGACTAAACTTTCCCACTACAATGTCAAGTTTTAAGTTATACTTTATTATAACTCCAACAATCCCCTACATAACTTAAAAATTAAAATAATTTAAAATTAAGAGTAAAAGAAGAACTTTGAAAATTAAGAATGCTGGTTCCCTTATACTATGTAATAGGTGGAGGTACCTTTCAGTTTGAACCTTCACTTAGTGACAGCTGTATAGATCCATGAGAGCTTGGTGAGCTACACCTTGAACCAGTCCCATTTATCGGATTTCTACAGAAAGCACACATAGTACAGTTTTGAAGAATTCTAAACGGGTTGCTCTATTATCGGCCTTGCGCATGTATCTTTCATGTGTGTTACTAGGGAGAAGCCCTAATCCCATAGCCGCGGCCTCACAACTACACACATATAGGTGAATCCTAATAAGGATGCAAGCAAGTAAGCATCCTGCCTCATGGGTCTTGAATTCAATAAGAGTTTAACTCAACCTTTCACTTGCTTTTTATAAGCACTGATCATTCTAGGGATGGGAGCAAATAAATTCAGTGCTCCTCACAATTAATCACTCGTCCAGTTTGTTTCTACCCATTGAACCTCTGCGAGGTTGGGTTGCCACTGTAGTAATTTTTCTTATGGGCTTAATCTCATCCACCTCGATGATTCTAGGATCACTGTCCTAGATAAGCCTTTAGTTAAGTGATATGCAAGATTTTCTCTGATCTTACAAAATCTAAGCATATTACATGGTTTTTCATCTTATATCTCAAGGATTTATGTTGCACTTTCAAGTATCGATTCATCTTCACATTTGCATTCTCTTGATGACATTTGTCAATCGCTGACCTGCAATCACAATGAATAGAAATAGCTGGTAATGGTTTTTGTATTAATGGAATTTTAGTAAGTAAATCTTTTAACCATTCAGCTTCTATACTAGTAGTATCAAGAGCTATCATTTCTGATTCTGTTGTACTTCTATCCATTACAGTTTGTTTAGTAGAGTTCCAGGACACAGCTCCTCCTCCTAAAAGGAACACAAAACCAGTGGTGGATTTTACATCTACTGAGTCACTAATCCAATTTGCATCTGAGTATCCTTCTAATACAGATGGATAACCTTTATAATATAAACCATAGTTCATAGTTTCTTTTAGATACCTCAAAATTTTTTCTAGAGCATCCCAATGACTCTTATCAGGATTTGATGTATATCTACTAAGTCTATTTACTTCATAAGTAATGTCAGGTCTGGTGTAGTTTGTCAAGAATCCTAATGATCCAATTATTTATGCATATTCTCTTTGTAATTGAGGATAACCTGTATTTTTTTTTAGATGTACATTAGGATCATATGGAGTAGAAACAGGTTGACAATTTAGATCATAAAAGTTCTTAAGTATTTTCTCTATGTAGTGTGATTGTGACAACACATATCCATTCTTATTTTTCAAGATTTTAGTGTTAAGAATTAAATCAGCTTGACCTAAATCTTTCATGTCAAAATTTTGTGATAAAAAATATTTGATTTCATTTATGCTTTGTATGTTAGAGCCAAAAATAAGAATATCATCAACATATAAGCATAAAGTCATAATTTTGTTGTTATTATCTGTTTTATGATATACACACTCATCTGTTTGATTAATTAAAAATCCATAGGATAGTATGATCTCATCAAATTTTATGTGCCATTGTTTTGGATCTTGTTTGAGACCATATAATGATCTAATAAGTTTGTATACTTTCTTCTCTTGTCCAGAGGCAACAAATCCCTCGGGTTGATCTATATAAATTTTTTCATCTAAGACTCCATTTAAGAATGCAGTTTTAACATCCATTTGGTGTATTATAAGTTTGTGAATAGATGCTAAAGCTATAAGGACTCTAATAGTAGTAATCCTAGCTACTGGGGAATAGACATCAAAATAATCAATATCAGATTTTTAGGTATATCCTTTAGCTACTAATCTGACCTTATATTTATCTATTGTTTTATCTGGTCTAAGTTTCTTCTTAAATACCCATTTACATCCTATAGTTTTACAGCCTGAAGGAAGATCAGTTAGTTCCCAAGTATGATTTTGAACTATAGATTGTATCTCATTATTTATAGCTTCCTTCCAAAATGGAGTATCTACTGATTTTATTGCATCTTCAAATGTAATTGGAGAATCTTCTACAAGTAATGCATAGAAATCTTCATGGACCTTTTCTGTTATAGTTCTTTTACTTCTCTTAGGCTCCTCTGGACTTTCTAGTGGTCTAATTTGTTTAGAACTAGTTTCACCTTGGTTAGAACTAGGATCTGAATTGTTAGAGCTAGGACATGTGTTGTTTACTCTGGTCTTGTAAGGAAAAATATTTTCAAAGTAATGTGCAT